GTTTTCGGCCCTACCGAAGTGCGGGTTTCCTCGACTCGTGCTGTGATTTTCTTTTGCGCTAGAAGTTGCTTATTGAGCGGGCCCGACCGCTTCCCTTTCGAACAAGGTGGCCTTTTGTTTGGTAGTCGGTGGCGCCTTGCTCTCAGTCTTTGGCTCCTCGTGAGGTGCTACCAGACTAGTTTTTACGAGTATCATAGACAAACTTGCTTGTTTTCTGGGGCTGTGTTCAGCATTTAACCCTATTTCTACTACGAGTTCCTCTTCGCGTAGTGTCCTCCGGAAGAATAGACCTGGGCATAAAACATTTCATGTTCTTTATTTCGAGTTCCAGTTTGTTGAACTTGGCGGCTAACGTTCGGCATCCGGAACACGACTTTTCTAAATGCGTCGGTTATGATAAATTTATGACACTTTTCGAACGCCTCTCCAGCTGTGCTGCGACGGCGCAGTGGGTTACGCGCTCCTTTGTTCGAGCCCCGGCCGCACCATTATATATGACCAGTTTGATAGCCGCCGGCTATGTCCATCTACACTGCAAGTCTGCATGCTTATACTACTGGTTCCAGATGGGATTCAGGCTTATAGTTGCCTAAATAAAAGCAGACCATGTGAAACACGGCACGGTGCACTAATTTTGCTAATTCTGTGAAATATGAATTTAATGCAAAACCAAATATCGACGAGTGCAAAGGAGACTCGAATGATCATTACTGTCTAATATGTTGTTTTTTGTAAGCAGTCGGAGAAACGGGACTTATACCCAGACAATTTGCAACTTGAGTCTCAGTTTCAATTCTACACTGAACACTGTGTATAACTGCCTTTTTGTTACTCTGCATCTTGATTTAACTGAAAACGAGGCTCGCAGAAATACACCTTTACTGCTCGGAATGTTCTATATCGCTGGAAACTAGTGCGGAACGTCGTTGGTTTCTAATCGAAACTGCAAGAAAGCCTCGAGTACTCTTTCTTGTTTTCGTGGAACACGCCTCCCCAGTTTACACTTATACACTTTTCAAGAGCAACATCAGAAAACAATATGGTTTTGCTCTGTGGCATTTGATAAGGTTATGCATGCACTGCTAATGTATGTATTGAATTTCAAATTAAAGAAATGTTTTCTTATATAAAATTCCATTTTGCATAACCGTGCAAACATTGCACCGATACATTCGCCCTGTCTGGCATACGTTCAATTGATCTGGTCTTCCCGTGTTGTCTGTTAAGCTTCAGTTTTGCACTTTAATAATAAAGTACGTTCAGATAAGCATGTGAAGAGCGATCACATCTGCTTCTGGGCGGCTTCCTCGGATTTTCCTGCTTTTCTTATCGTTACTTAATTAACCATTCTGTATCTGAAAGACTAATCATATTTATAAGATACTTCCGAATAAATTTTTGATCACACACGATATTTTACCTCATACGAAATATTTTAACTCGGCGCACGAATTTTATTCGCTAGCACAGCTGCAAACAGCATGCACTTCATTGGCTTGAGGACAACCAATGGGAACATACAAAAATCTAACACACCTTACCTCCGCGAATGAGGTAAGAAATCGATCAGCAGGCGTTTGTTTGGCCGCCAGAGCATATATCACGACTAAATAAAAGTTTACCAGGTGGACTTTTCTGAATGTTGGACTGCCAACTCCAACTCACTATGCAATGTGGTGCGGAGAGATGAGCACGTGATTTAATCAGAGCAAGGACGAAATTCGGTATATATTTCCAAACAACAGGGACGAACACAGCCAAGGGCAAGTTAATTTTGAAAATTGGATTAAGGTCATGCCATATTTATTCTGATTTATTTGATAAATAAAAAGGAAAGAATAGTTAATGCAGTGAGTCAAAAACCGTTTTGAGTGCGCAGAAAAGTTTTTTTCACTTAAGATGTGGCCAAGTCAGGTAGAGACAAACATGAATGTCAGCTGATGCTGTGGGTTAAACCTCTACCAAAAAGAATTCTCTAAAACCTGTTGCGTAAGTTCGCTTTAAACTGCATAAAGGTTATTCCATTTCAATAAGTCAGCTTGACTTTAGGAAGATAGAAGGAAAAATGTGCTCGGTTAAATTCAAACTATAATTTGTCCTTTAACATTGACCCCAACGTAAACGTAAGCGTAACCCCACTTTTAAACACTCACTCTAACCTTCGCCCTAAATATCCTTGCCCAAGCCTATTCTCCCGGAATAAGGCACAAAATCATCCTTATTACACGGGGTTTTCACGCTCTTGCCTTGTTGAGGACCCCATTGAAGTCATCCTCACCTTATCTCATAGTAATACATATATACCTACGTAAATTTCAAAAAAGACCAAAGTTTTGCTGGTTTTTAACATTGTCATACATGTTTATAGATTCGTAGAATTATTTGCAACTTATGGATAAAAGGCAAGGCATGAAGATCGAATGTCTTCTTTAAATGGTTTTATCAGACTTAAACTGTAAAAAATAAAAGCATGTTAAGACGTGACTGCGGAATAACACGAGACTTCTAGATATTTCTAACATATAGAAAATGAGCATTATAGATTGGTGTCTGCAGAGTTATATGTGCAAACTACGATTGCGATTAATTTGCTATATTATCTAGTACTTAATATTCAACGATGTGGTCTTTAAATTCGGGATCAGACAGGTATCTAAATACTGAAATGCTCTTATAAGACAGGTATGCGGAACCTCGAATACAGAAATATGAAATTAATAGTTTAAGCAAAGGGGCGGAAAATGGGTGGCAATTTGCTTAACTTCGAAGCGCGTAACATACAAACAAAACTGCTTATTAAATAAATAGAGTGTCTTGATGTTTTCATTGCACTTCTTAAACGGCCAAATGGAATGTATAGTTAGAGTCTTTACAGATCTCCGTGTTTTTCTTATAAACATGTAGCGAGTTTTTGCGAAAACGGACAGTTTTATGTGTTCATTTACCGTTTAAAACCTTTCGTTTTCATCCTTGACCAGTTTAAAGAGAGCGGGACGACGCTCGTTTTATTAAGATGTGTTTGCTCTGCAGCCTAGAAATTTAAAAGCTTCAAGAAATTGTTATTCATCACAAGCTCTATATTTTTACCCATCTTCATTATAATTTAGTACCCCTTCGAGCAGTTATTACGGGACGTTCCAATTAACTTAATGCTGGCGTTGGCTCTTCCACATAAACCACAACAAATCCTATGATGATTAATCTGAAGCTTCCTTAATGGACAGATTTTACCAGAGGAGAGAAGATATTGTCCATGTTAACACAATAAGTAATCATGTTTCTGACTTTATGTACGGTTGAACAAATTATTATATCGGATATGATCGCATTAATTAAATTTGGCAAATTGCCTACTCTGCAGCATGAGCTCAACACTTCAGTGGAATGATGTTGTTGATAACGGTTCACTGCTGTACAAGTCCTACACAGCCGGCTGCGAATCCCCACATTACCAAAATGTCAGTCCTCAACCACCAGTTGCCGGTACGCCAACGAAAGGTTTATCGTCATCGGTAAGCGATCATTCACCTAAGGACATTTGCAACATTGTCAAATCTGCCGAAAAGCGCAAAATTTCGATTGTATGTAGATCATGTACAGGTTATATCTTAAATGTAAACATAATATAAAGGTTGTGATAATAATTACGGGGGTTAGAGGAAAAAACCTTGTTACCTTCTACAATAGCCTTTTAGTAGGTGGAAATTTATGAAGATATGAATTAAGTTTCAGAAAAGTGACCGCACTACACCTGTAACTGAATTGCTGAGATCCATTGCTTTACAGAGGAAATTCTGCCATGGGATACGAGCTGCTTGGTATTTATTAATACTAAAAAGCAACAAACTCCTAGTGAAAAAGCAACAAAAGTTTCAGCCTATGTAATTATTTACCATGTTTCGCCAATATTTTGCCACTAATTGAAGGGTTCGCCTAATAAATGCGTCACCCTGAATTCCTGTGTATTTGTGGTTGATAAACTTTTGACACTGGAGTATATCAGTTTATTCAAAGCCCCATATGCACAGACTATAACTAAAGGCTGCTCATAAGCTTAACTGCTATTTCCAGCGGTTGACTCTTTTGCATGCAAAGCACTAATCGAAGATATTTGAATGAAAATCTTTAATCAAAACATTTTTTACAGAGTTATCTCTTTTATTTTCACTTAGCAAACACCGGAATCTCTGCATTCGCTCGTCCGATTTCGGACGCAGGCAAAAGATCAGTTTGTCGTCAGGGTCGTGAAGATAACTGACAAGTCTTCTTCCCTGAATCCATCTAATAAACAGGAATCGCTATCTGCATCTCCAAGGCTCGATGTGTTTGATCAGGAGAGCGTTCAGCTACGTCTCAATCAGTCAGGAGATGGTGTATTTGTTGGCTTTCAGGCCCAGATGCCCGCTATGTCCAGTGTGTACGTTTCACGATCTACATCAGCTGATCAAGTCGGCAATGAGCGATCCTGTCCAAGTCATTCACAAAGAAGAAGAAAGGTCGGAAAAGGTGTTCGTATCTGTTTCAGTTGTCTTCTAAAGGGAAATGGACCGCAAATTCAGGAGTTTTACAAAGGCGTGGTCGCACAAAGAGTAAAATGTTAATTGTTTACCATTTCTCTAATTAATGTTTAGTTTGAGCTTTTCTTGTTTAAATTACTTGTTATATATTTATAAACGGACTTTTTTCAAAAAACATGTTTTCGTAGCATATGCTTTTCTACCATGTGGTGCCAGTGCTATTCAAGTTTGTGAAAACATAAATTATCATAGCTGCTCCATACATATGTATCGTTATAAAGGCTCACTTTTGTGTATTACAGCTCCTGCCCGTAAGATGCACTGTCAGCGAAAGTGCGAAGTGGTTTAAATAAACCTTTTGTTCAATTTGAGGAAGAAATTTAACTAAATTTTGAAAAACTCGACGCATGTAAGCTAGACTAAATGATGAGTATAGCCAACGCTCTAACCATCTGAGATTTGAGGCCCGAGCGGGGGGCGAGAATTCATATCCATTATGAAAAACTGTACGATTTTGTTACGAAACGACCCAATAACTATTAATCCTGACAGTTACCTTATGAAAGTATTATCGTACTTAACACATCTGAGCCCCATGTCATTTTTAACTACAGGTAGCATTCAACTGTAAACATATAAGTTAGCCTTCAACGATGAGTAACCGCAATAACTTACTGTTTGATAAAATATGCAGCTAAGCTCAGAATCAAACTCACCACCACATTTTGTTTAGCTAGAGGCTTGGGAGAAAAGCTCCGGTCGATCTGGCATTCTTTTGGAAGTACTAACGGCGCTTCGATTGACGGTTGAAAATATGCTCAAACAAATCCGCCTTGACGGGCTGCGGACAATTTTACCCGAAGAAGACTACGTATTTTATCCTCTCCGTTCTGATGAACTGCAGTGAGTACTGTGGGTTTTATGTTTGACTTGGTTGAGTCAATAACGATTTGACTTTGAACAGTGACAAGATGATTAAAATATATCAAATTTTTGAAAATCAAAGGAAGATTCAGATCTTTGTCTCTCGATTGGATTCATGACAACGTTCCCGTTTAACAACAGCTCCCACACGCAAAATGCTATAATTTCCTGGATTTCAGACTGCTTCGTGGGTTTACAGAGTCAAAGCCAAAAACTCCTGCCACTGATAATAAAATCTATACTAGCGCATTCAAAGCACATCGGCTTGTAGTCAACCGCCTGTGAAACACTCGATACTGCTTTCTTCCAAAAAAGATGCTCTGCATTTTGATACGGTAAAGACTTCTGCGAATGAGAACAGTTCCTCTTGCTGATGCTGGACAACCCCGATAATTTATTTTTACTAATTTCACTGAAGCGCGTTAATTTAATTACCATGTGAAAGCTGGAAAACTGATAAAGTAGACAAGGAAAAGACGATTGCATAAAATAGTCGAAGGCGTGCCACCTTTAACCGGAAATTATTTATGTGATTGTAAAAACCAGTAGTATGTTTCACGTGACAGTAAGTTTAGCAGTTTAATTACCTCCAGGCTGCAATGTTGTACAATTCTCCTTTACCTTTCTAAAATGTGAAGCCATTCTCTCTTTGACAGCCGCAAAATTAACTTGGTTCATATCGGAAATATACAGGCTTGCCGTTGCAAACTGAAGTTCATTTTACTCGAGTGAACTTCAGACTCTTTGGTTTGGTTGATGCATTTAAGGTCACTAAAGGAGCACTTCTGCTCCGACATGGCTTGTTATCAATTTATAACATACTGCTTACTGGAATGGAGTTTGTATTTACCAGAATTTCCGGCCTTTATAGGAGACAGTTCTTGATTTCATAATGAGTTATGTGATGCTATACGACTTCTATAAAAAAACGTTTACGCATGTGGAAATAACATACCGGCCTTTTGAACCATATTATGTACGCAAACGCCTTGCATACTCCCAAGTATGAATAATCAGCGGGAATCCGCAAACAACGCCAATACAGACCATCAATTTTATCTACGAGAACCAGAAGTTTCGTTTGTCTAATAACCTTCTAAAATGAAAGAATTAATATTCTTTTATATATCTTTCACAATAAATGATTTTCATATTCTGTAAAATGTAGAAAAGTACTTCACTTTTACTGCAGTAAATTTTCATAATTTTTTGATGGCCCACTTTTAAAATTTGCGGCCTCGGTCGGAATAGAACCCACACAGCAGGGAAGGTTTTTGCACAGCCTGCTGTATGGGTTTGACTCCCACTGAAGCCGCGAGTTTTTTCACAAGTGGGTCAATCAAATTATTGAAACGTGCCAAAACTCTAACCTGTCATAATTGTATTCAGACGACTATTCGCCGCCGTGTTAAGTTGACGAAAATGTTTTACTCCGTTCTTAAGACTGTGCTTATTACGATGATGAATATCTAAATATTTAAAAATAAAAAATAATTAAAACGCATACGACGTAAGCATGGTGTAAGTAAAACAGTTCTTAGGACTTACCATATCCTTAGTAATGTAAAACAAACTTAACTCTTTATGAGCAGCTGCATAAAATCAGTGCTGGTATATACAAAGGGTTTTAATTTTCATTACTAACAGCGAAAATAAACGATATTACCTGTATGTATTTTGTTCGTAATCTTTTAAGTCTCTCATTCAGTTGGCATTAATAAAGAATTCTCTTACAAAAATTACAACACTAAGTCAGCATTTAGAACGATTCCTTCTTCCGAAATGGCAGACCCGTATACAGGTACTCCAGAAAGGCAAGCTTTTCAACAGACTGTCTTGAGGGCAAAGCACTACAAAGACTCGATCTGAACACGGAGCCAAGCAGTCCAGTTCCACTGTGGACGGGATCATGTCCCTATCCTTCACCACAATCTACTTCTAATCCGATTGCCGTTCCCACTCAAGGGCAACCCCTGGAACATAGGAAAACCCTGCCATCAACGAGCAGACGCAACCACGGCCTTCTTAGCGCTCTGAGCAATTCGAGACCAGTCTCAGCCTACGGAACAATTTTCGGCAATACGGGCAAAGGTCTGGCGAGTGAAATGCATTGTTTCTTGTCTGCAAGTGGAATGTCTCCTCAAAGCAAGGCGTTAGACCAATCAGCATACGGTAGGTTCAACAGTATATAGTACACGAACGAATACAGCAAACCTGTCAAAGTGTGGTGAAGACTAAGAGTCAGGGAATGTTTGGCCATGCTAGACCTTAGCTCGTGACAATACCTGCGAAAAATAACTCTAAAATAACTCCACTCAATTGACTAGGCCTAATCCTCAAACTCATTAAAAACAAATAAGAATCTATGAGTGCGCCATGCTTCCTAGCCTTCTTCGTATATAGCTTTCATATAGTTCCAGGAAATGCCGATCTTAATTAAAGACTATGCCCCCTGTATAGAGGGCGGGGATACGGTGAATTGCGCGTAAATTACTTTCGAGTGATATTAGACTTTTGTTGCATCTCTCATACATCTGGGTCCAGTGTGAAGCCGTAGTAAAAAACGAACGGAGGCGGATTTGGTAGCAAACAGCTGGTATGACACGAACCTGCTAATAGACGTGTCACCACACACACTGGTCCGTGCGCAAACACCAACTATTAACACAAAAAAGAAAGGGGAAGCTACTCTGAACCCACAGAGTTGGAGTGCCATAGATGACACATTAAAACGGAGCCACTGCTACCTGATTATCCATGTAAAGCTGGGGCCGGCCACTTGGCAACCTTTGAAGCCATGCCATTTAGCGTTACATAATAGACTGAATCGCGTCTGTTTGTTTACAGTTAGGAATATGCGCTGACGGCTGTTGATCCCATTCCCTCTTCTCTGTCCCGTACATATGCATACATTTATTGATTGCCGCTTTACAGGCAATTTTAGAAATTGCTTTAATTGGTAAAGCACCCGTTGGGCGCCTTCCAAAACCTCGAAGATAGAAAAAACTTAAAACAAACTCCCTCTTTTGCGGTCAGTATTGGTTTCGGTTTAGTTTTGCGATAGCTCAATAGTGGTTGAAATAGAAAGTTTGTTTCAAGTGAAGAAAACGTCCATTGACAGTATGAGTCGGCCTGCCCTATTCAATTCGTCGACTAGCTAGTATTCGTCGCATTTGTTTGCAATAAGCTGAACACTTACTTTGTTGCTCAGGTACAATTCGGCAATTTCAAATCTCAGTTCTTGATTCGAATAAGTGGTG